AAAAAACACTCATACCAGCTCACAGATTGATCAAGACAGCACATTTGGACTGGCTGGAATTTCTTCATGCTGTTGGATGACTTCTGTGCATGCTTCTTTTATTTTCCTTTCATTAGCTGCTTATAGTATTTTGTTGTTGGAGTTAGTCTATCTTGCTAGGCTTTGTAGCAGTGGCGGGTGGTTAAACTCTTTTTTTCCTTTTATTTTTGGTTTCTTTGTTGAGGTTTTAGGCCATCTTGTATGAGCCTCTCAGTTTGTTGCTTCCGGTTTGTGTTTTCTTTTGTATCTTGTACTATTGGAACCTTTGAGCTTTAGTTATATAAATTTCTATCGTTTCGGGAAAAAAAAAAAAAAATATTAAATTCATATATAATATAGTAGCAAAACTCACACAAAATTTTGTATTTTTGCGTTGTATTATTACATTTTTTTTATGCAAAGTCTTCATTTTTAAGTCTCCATCATTGTAGATATATTATTGTTAAGGTTTATGTGGCCATGAATTTTACTTTTTATAAACATTGCAGTATTAACAAGACTATAAAAGAATATGTTTCATTATAATTTAAAATAAATTATAAAATATTTGTTAGATTTATTTTATTTTATTTTTTAGACTTTGTTAACAATTTATTAGTTATAATTAGTTGTGTAGTAAAATAATATTTATTTTTATTTACAATATACGGGCCATGTTGGTTCGATATCCCCCATTAGATAAAATTGGGTTCTTGTTTACCAGATTACCTGTCGGGTAAAACCGATCTGAACTTCAAGACTAATATACGGGTAACAGGTCGGAGTTTGTGTAGGGTAAATGTATGCTAGTCTGAGTTCTAGTATGCCAAAAGAACTGGGTCCTCTTTTAATACTGATGTGCTCTCGCACCTCGAACCGGCCTTCCACTGATCCTCGATCGCTTGCTCCCCGGAGACCTGCAAAGATGTCGGGAGGTACCTCCCGACGTTAAACCTCCGACGCTCAGGTCAGTAAAGGGTAGAAGAAAGTTCTATGGAATTGTATGTATTGTTTAGGGTTTGTAGAGTGTGATTAACTTTACCTTCCTCTCCCATTTACCTATTTATATGGACTTGTTAGCTTCTCCCGTACGCTTTGTTCCTCATCCCTCCTATCATATATTCCTTTTGAATCCCTCCCCTACACGTATCCCTGGTGGACCACTTTAAATAAATGCCTCATTAGTTCAACACCTAAAGTATCGCTGAAGTCCGTCCTTACAGAGCCTCCCCCCATTACACCGAGCCATAATAAGGTCAAGCTCTTGTTACATCGAGCTACTATGGTAGTGAGCTCTTACTAATTGGTCCATCATTATGACAAGCTCTTACCGGCCTCCGATCCCTTAATTATCCGAGCTATCGTTATGGCGAGCTCCTGGATCCTACCACTGAGCCGAGCTATAGTTATGATGAGCTGATGGGCCCTCTACTAGGCCGAGTTGTTGTTAGGACGACGAACTGGGCGGCCCTTTACTAGGCCGAGTTGTCTCTATGGCGAGCTGATGGGCTATTCCGAGTTGTTGTTATGGCGAGCTGATGGGCCCTTTACTAGGTCGGGTTGTTGCTTATGACGAGCTGATAGGCCCCGTTGCTAGGTCAAGCTATTTCTACTCCCCTAATTATTTTAGCTACTACTGGTCCACGAATTAAGCGTCATTCTGTCCGGTTTGCTGAGCTAATCCCTTATGCTATATCAAATACTATTACCTTAAATAAAATGAAATAAAATAACATTACTAATGGTTTAAGGATAGAGTAAGCATCTATTCGGATCCATCTATGTTAGCCGCCTTTCCACTACTAATCTAGTCGCTCTTGCTGACTCGCCCAACACTCCAATAATGCAATGGTGGATGTGTGCCGAATAAAAGATGGACACTAAACGCTTTTATTATGGGCACTTGTAATACCACAAAAATCCTCATTTGAATTTCTAACATCTTTACCTATTCCTAGGTCGGTGACACTTCTCATACAGAATTTAAAAGATTATTAAGAAAAATGTTATAAATACATAATAAATATACATAAAGGTGTACATAACACTCACATGGAGTGATGTCTGCTTGATTTTTTATTTTTGGTCGATCTCACTCATTGTGAGTGTAATGGACACTCTTATATATATTATTATGCACCTATAACATTTCTCGACTATTAATACCAAGACCACTATAGGTTGAAAATTGTCTGAAAGGCAAGGCTTTATGATGAACTAGTAAACTCTTCTATGCAGGAGCAAAATCAATTTAGTTATAAGCATTTCATAACGTTTAAATTCAATATTATAAATAAAAAATTAAACTAAGATATTGTTTATTAAGAAAAAATAGTAATCCCCAACATTATATATATATGTCGATCAGTAATCTCTATATAAAAGTATCTATATCTTTTTATTGGTTGTGTTTAAAATTATTAGTACTGATTATGATCGAAACTTTCAGTTACCAATAAAATACATATTAAACTAATATATTATAGTGACACGCAACATAATAAAATAATGTAAAATAAAATTGTAGAGTTACCAAGGGCGAATTTACATCTTCTATAAGGGGGGCAATTGCCCCCGCTCAAATTTTAAATTTTTTTGTTATTAATATTACAAAATTTAATTTGCCCCCCCTTTAAATTTACTTTTGCACCCCATTATTTTTTGCTTTCAAACGTCACTCGCCAGGCCAACTTGTCCACAATTGTCAATTAACATTTCAACACTTCTTTTATTTTACTATAATTTTGTATATTAATTGTATTGTCATTCTACAATTTTAATTAGCCCATATAAAAGACTTCAACTCTCTTTTATTACACATGCTAGGGCTGGTATTTTTTGACCAAAAATCAAAAACCGAACCGAACCGAACTGACGAGAAAATAAACCGAATCGAATCGACTTATATGTAACGGTAACCGAAAATCGGTTACGAAATGTTATCGTTTCGCTATCGGTTTTAAACCCATTCTGTTATGTCTTTTGCCCCCTCTCAACTAATTTTCTGGTTTCGCCCCTGAGAGTTACATTTAAAGAATCCATTTTCTACATATCACTACTATTATACGTAACATCTTTATCTGAAATACTCTAGTTAATATTTTTAAGATTTTAAATTCCTTTCTAAAAAAATTTAAAAATGCATTTACCCAAAGGTAAGTGATATTTATGCCTTTTAACTCTTAAAATCATTTAATGAAAAAATAAGAGTTTCATTCAATAAAAATGTTGGCATAGTATATTCGGATCATGTTGTATTATTTGCATGATAAACCAATCTAACAGACGTTGATATGAAATATATAAATAAGCTATGGAAAAAAATATTTTCACACACACACACACATATATGTATTATAATAAAATATTTTTTAGCTTTATATGCTTACTATGAGTGCCAAACAAAAAAATAAATAAATATAATTAATTTATTATTTTATATATTAAAAGTTGATAAAATGATCAATACGTATTCAATTAAATATATTATGAAAATATTTACTTATTGAATAATACAGAAGACAAAAATTGTTATTCAATTGATTAATAATTTTTTTCTACTAATATACATGGATGTTGGTGTCCATTTATGGGGTTTATTCTTAGTGAAAATATATAGTTTGCCTGAAAAATGTGATTAAACTCTATATATCTGTTAAGAATAAATTTTTAATATTTAAATATAGATCAAATCTGTAAGAGCCTAAATTCTTTACACTATTTTCAAACTTTAGCTTACCATGAAACATATTAGTTACTTTATATTTTGTTATAAATTATAATTAATTTATGATATATTTTTATTTGACAAAAAAATTACTAAAATAGTAATATTAGTAGAATATGGAAACTTCAATATTTTGACCCATCTACGGAAGATTTGAAGGGATCTAATAACGAAAATCGGTTTTGTTATGGAGCCAACAGTTGGTTCCATAGTGGAGCCAACCTTCTATATCAAAGAATATGGTAGGTTTATTTGATGTATATAGAAGGTGTTGGCTCCATAGCAAAATCGAAACAAAAATTAAGGTTTTTTATTTTTATCATTTTTTATTGTTAGTAAAAAAACACTAATATGGTAAGAAGATTTTGAAAATCATAGTTTGAACAAATCTTGAAGATTTACGCAATAGAGGAAAAATGTTGATTTTGATAAGTAAATATATTATTAATGATAAATTTATATTTAACAAAAATTACAAAAAATACTAATATTAGTATATTATAGAAAATTCAACATTTTGACCTAGAAAATGAGTAAATAGAAAAAATTAAATATGATAAAAAAATTATTTATTTAAAAAACTATTTCATATTTACCATATTATATTTTTATGTTAACTTTTTATTAAACAAATACTATCACCAAAAGTAAAAAAAAAATAAAAATAAAAAAAGCAAAAATTTTCAATAAGCTTATTTATAGACAACATTCTCCTTATTAATGTAAATCCTCTCACAGTTGTTCCTTTATCTCTTTCTATCCGATTAGTTTGTTTGATAGAGTTTGTGTTATACGTCGTTATCACTTCACATAACCACCCATATCATCTATTATCTATTTAACTTCTATTTCTTTACGTCATGTCCTTTTTTTGCCTGTTTTCAATTTTCTAAATTAGCCTAAACTCTAAATCCACAATGTCAACTACGCGGTAACGCGGATCATAAAAACAAAGGAAAAAATAAAAATAAAAATTGACGGATTTTTATCATTGAATCAACGGATGGCACACAGTACTTTCAATTTTGCATCAGAGCTGTATTCAACTTCAAATTATAGCAAACTTCCGAGTACGCGCACATGATACATGAACCGAATTAAAACCCAACACTTCCTTATTATCATTTCTCGAACAATTTTTAAAAAAAAAAAAAAAAGAAATAATCGCATTCATATACCATTTTCACACGCCGTTAACGAACTCGGCGCACTTCTGGATCAGTTTCTTGGTATCCTCGCTATCGGGCTCGATAATATGGAAAACGTGGGCCGCCCCGTCCGTCTCGTGGATCTGGGCCTTTCCGGCCCAACCGCTGTCCACCAGGGCCCGATAATACATCTTCCCCCTTTCCCTTAGAATATCGTTCCCGGCGACGCAAACCAGGACCCGGCCGCAGCTCAGCCCGTCGAGTCCCGGGGCCCCGTCCACTAACGGGTTGATCCACGGGTCGTCGCAGCCCTTTTCCGACGGGCACACATACCGCCACCACGCGTCCACCACGGACTTGAACGCCGGGCTCTCGGCCTCCGGCCCGACCGCCGCTTCCCCCCAGAAGTAAGGGTGCACAAGCAAGATCCCGGCGATTTCCATGCCCGGGCCCTCCGGCCCGGCTCGCATCGCCATGTGGTGGCAGATGTTGGCCCCGGCGCTGTCACCGGCGAGGAAGACCCGGCCCAGGTCGGCCGAGTCCCGGATCCAGTCGTCGGCCCGGATCGCGACCCACCGGAGGGCGGCCCAGGAGTCGTCGTAGGCCGCCGGGAGGGGGGACTCCGGGGCGCGGCGGTAGTCGACGGAGACGAGGAGGACGCGGGCCTCCCGGACGAAGGCGTTGAGCATGTGGTGGTAGACGGGGTCGGCGGCGGAGGAGATGCAGAAGGCGCCGCCGTGGAAGTAGACGACGAGGGGGAGGCGGCCGGGGAGGGGGCCGGCGGGGCGGTAGAGGCGGGCCCAGACGCCGGAATCCGGCGAGAGGACGACGTCCTTGGAGGAGACGCCGGTGGCGGGGTCGGGGTCTGCCGGAGGAGTAGTCTCGGTGCCGAGGAGGCGCTGGACGGTGCCGTCGTCGTAAGCGCGCAGGTAAGGTGGGATGTCGAGAACGATCTTTTTAGGAGTAGATGTCGCCATAATTGATGATGTTTTTGTTAGAAAAAGAGAGAGAGAGACAGAGAGATTGGTGACAAACTGAAAAGTGTGAATGATGGATGGAGAGCATATGTTCCAACAATGTAGTATTATATTATGATTAAAAGAAAAAGGGTTAAGATTATTTATTCACAAATGCTAATGTTGGGTAATTGCTACTTTGTAGGCAGTCATACTTTTCTAAAAAAAAAAAAATATATGTGCTTATACTTTGAGATGTTATATCGAGACATGACAAATTTTGGGCAGTGCCCGTGGGTCGTCCAATTCGAAATAATCGACCTTAAACAGGCCCGTACTAAGGTATGTGTCGGGTATAGACCTCGGCGGGTCGCATCGGTTTGGTGACCCATCCTAAAAAATATATATAAAAAATCTGATCGTGGATTTCTCAAGTTGTCGAGTCACATGTTAAATACATATGACCCCAAATCGGCCCAGTGTAAATCCGGGCATGGGCCCCAACCCGTAGTCAACGAGTTGGACCGGGCCAGGTTTGTGTCGGTACCGGGCCAGGTCTTAATCGTGTGACCCGAGGTCATGTCTAGTTGTACCTTTATATCTATATATTTTAAAATACGATATCTAAATATGACAATATATATATTTTATTGAAAGAGTATTACGATATAAATATTAGACAAATATAATCATTGTTCTTTCAGAAATTAGAACCTCATCCCATTTTCCATTTTTCTTTGTGATTTTTTGTCCCTTTTTCACTCTCTTATTTTTTGCCCCTTTCTCTCTTGGTTGCCTTAAATCGTCGTCCGTAAGCCTACCCCAGCAGTTGTGTCGGGCCCTCTAGACGCCGGCCAGCCTCGGACTGCGTGACCAAGACCTCAATTTTTGCGCCAATGTTCGTCTCATTGCGCTGATGGAAGAGGATGGCCGTCCCGAGTTGATCTCACCAATTTCTAGTCTCCATGACTCCATCTTGTTGAGGTCGGTCGTCGGCTTCCTGGCGTCGTGGCGAGGGTAGGCTGCGGTGTTCTTCCGAGGGTGGCGCCAACTCTGACTGCCTTTTGGTGGTGGTCGGGATGGCGGGGGTGGAGGGTCGACGGACTTTCTCCCATGCGTCCCCTTTTCTCTTGGTGTTTGGGTTGAGGGGAAGGCTGGCGTAGTCGGGTCCTGGCCTGTGGTGTAGGCTGGGTTCGGGGCGGCAGGGTTTGTTGGGGATTAGTTTGGTGCTCATCTGGCTGTGGGGGTCGAGGTCGTCCGTGTGGACGTGAAGTCAGGGTTCTTGGGTTGTGGCTCCAATTAGACTTGTTTTGCAGTTTCTAGAGCGGTATCTTGGGTCGTGGTCCAATCTGTTCGGGTGGTCGGCCTGGTGCCATCGTATAGCTCTCGGTGTGTTTTGACGTTTGAGGGAAAGACCTTAATACAGTCTTAATTAGTCTAGTTTGAGTTTGCTATGTGTTTGTGTGTTATGTGTAGTAGGCATTTGTGTTTATGTGTTTTGTTTTATCTCACGTCTGGGAGAGTGTAGTCTCACGTGTGGGAGTGTTTATTCTCCATTATTGGAGTTTGATAGTTTTATGTTTTAGTTTGTGGGTTTGTAGGTTAGTTTTCGTTCTAGCGTAGATTCTATGCGATCTTCAAATTCATTTTTTATTTATTTTTTTTCGGCTTTTAGCTGGTCCATTCAGTTGTTGGGTTGTCCTAATTTGTAAATTTTTTTTGTTCTCTATAAAATTTTTATAGTTCTAAAAAATAAATATACTAGATACAATAGACCAATTGTTATTAATTTATTAATAGTTTGATAGATTGGCTTGAAATTGAAGCAAGGTGGCCAATAAGTCTAATGTAAGAAATGATTCATCCAGCTTGAGCTTGGTCCGGAAATAAGTCGAGGTCAAGCTCATAATATATATTGTTTATTAGAATGTGCTCGTAAATCAACCCATAGGTTATTATAAACTAAAATGCATACTAAATGGCTGAATTGGAAAATGTCATATATTTTTTACTCACATCATAATACATTATTGTTTAGGCATAACATCTTATTACAAAAACATGTATATTTACTGAAAAGATTAGTATGTATGCGCAATAGTTATTATATTGGATAAATTAATAAATTTTAAATTCACTCGATGTATCAATTAATAGATTGATCTTCATTTAGCGTCTTGAAACTTGTTCAACCTCGTTAAGTTCAACGTTCTTAAATCTATAATTGTTGAATTTGATGAGAGTACAACTTAGATCTAGTTCAATTTTTTTAGTGGATTTAACTTAAATAAATTATGGCATTAGGGATACATTGTATACGGTTTGAGTTCTCAATTCTTAGGTAATGTGATTTTCCTTTCTAAGGAATTTTCATACATTTCATAGAGTTTATGAGTTTGTTATATTTTTTATCGGGTGCTAGAAATTATTCTTAACTGACGCAACTACTCTATATACTAATGGGTGCATGAANTTTTGATCTTAAAATAGTACGATTTACCATAAATATTTTTAGATAAAAAAGTGAATATTTGTGAAAAAAAAATTAATATTATGGTTAGAACTTAAAATATGGTGTAATATTTATCTTGACCAAAATATTATCAACATGGATCATGAAAATCAATTTTGTAATTTATTATAATGAATATCAATGAAAGTATTACAAATATTAATAAAATAATATTTTTCTTTACCAAATTATTATCAACATGAATCACGAAAAATCAATCTTGTAATTTATTATAATAAATATAAATGAAAATATTGCAGATATTAGTAAATTTATTTAAGTAATTATTTGATCCTATCATAAAAATATTGCAGATATTAGTAAATTTATTTAAGTAATTATTTGATCCTATCTTATTTGATCTGGAAGCAATTAATGCATATACTTAAAAAGTTTTCAAAAGTGGTATGCATTAAATGTTTTTTAAATTTTTTGCTACTATTTTTAGTAAATGATAATTCTATGGATTAATCTATAATTGTTAGTCTATCATTTGAATTAGGTTTCTAGAAATTTAAAATGCAGTTTGTCCTAATCTTACATACAACTATTAAATGAAATGTACCTCTAGTAAATTCGGTTCGGTCAGATTCATTTAATAATAAATTGAGTTCGAACACATTTAATTAAATAAAAATAAATTTATATATAATTATTTAAAATATTATTATATATTAACTCGTTAACAAACAAATTTTGGGCTTGATTCGATAAAAGAATGAAATTTAAATCCGAACATGAATATCAAGACGGGGATTTACAACTTTAATATTGAAGTAAAGAAAAACAAACAAAACCAAAGCCCAACTTTCAACGGTCAAAGTTAGCTTTGTGAATTAGGGTTTGATTATTTATGAATTATTTCATTCTTATTTATTTCAGATTCAAAATTTAACTCAATTTTAATTTAGTCCCACTATTTTTAATATTATTCATATAATTAAATAATACAAACCAATCATTCTTACATATCACACCAATTTCAATTCACTATTCACCCACTCACATCATTTTAACTACCAATCATTTATCTCCTACTTTTACATCAAATCAATTTTAATCATTTTATTTTAAATATTATTATTATACATTCTTAAAATTCCATTAACAACTAACCATACCACCTTTTCAAAATTAACTATGTTTAATTAAATAATTTATTTTGAACAAATTATTTCGTAAACAATAGCCCCTTTAATTTTTCTCTTTGTATAAAGCATATACAGTACACTCAGACCTCTCTTTGACAATGATGCGGATTGATAGAGGACAGACGCTTTGCCATATTATCGAATTTGATAGAAAATGGATACTCAA